GGAAGACTTGAGAGATTGTCTATGGCTTCTCAAGAAGCACAGCTGGCAGGAGTTGAAATACAAACTTCCATCCTATCTTTTTGTAAAGCAATTGGAAAAAATGAGAGAGTAAGGATTTGACATGTTACAGTTGTAGATCTTAGCATTGAGAGGCATGAATGAGATAAATGTGGAACACTGGCAGGTTGCAAAAGTGTTACACAGATGTAAAGAGTTTTAGGGGGGACTTCCCTGCATTTCTTTACTGCAATGCAAGGGCAGAACTAAAAACTGAAACTTAGCACCCAGTATCCCTCACCTACCACCCCTCTGCACCCTCAGATGAATCATAGTCTGTTACAGATGCCTGTAACATATTCCTGAGCGTTAGTCCCAGAAAACTAAACCTGTGGAAACTTTTATATTTTAGTTGCTGACCTTCACAGCTTGTTCAAAAGAGAAGGGTCAGTGACTCACAATTATATTACAACTTCAGACCATGTGAATTTCTTCAAAGGTGATGGCTTAAGAAGTGTTTAATTCTTGGCTCTTTCTAATAAACTCAAAAGAGTGAAGTCCTCATCTTGTCATTCAGGGACTAACCACCTAAATTTGTTTTCTTGAACATTTTTAAAAACGTAATTCCCATTGATCTAGTGTGCACCCTTTGTTCTCATTGGGCTGGGTTTGCGGACACAGTTGGTCTCAGTCATGAAGTCATGAAGTCAGGTTATGCCAATTCACCTCTTCCTGGAAATCTCCTCTGGCAAATTCAGACTGACTTTTTTTCTGAGAGCCAAAGGCATTAATTACATCTTGTCTTGGATTAGGGTTCTTTAAATATTTCACTCATAAATGTGTAAATTCTGCTTTTCTGAACAGATTATAATATAATCAGTTTTACAATCATAGAATATTTTGTTGACCTTCACACCTTTTTCTTTTCTTTTTTTTTTTTTTTGAGACGGAGTCTTACTCTGTCGCCCAGGCTGGAGTGCAGTGGCCGGATCTCAGCTCCGCCTCCCGGGTTTACGCCATTCTCCTGCCTCAGCCTCCCGAGTAGCTGGGACTACAGGCGCCCACCACCTCGCCCGGCTAGTTTTTTGTATTTTTTAGTAGAGACGGGGTTTCACTGTGTTAGCCAGGATGGTCTCGATCTCCTGACCTCGTGATCCTCCCGTCTCGGCCTCCCAAAGTGCTGGGATTACAGGCTTGAGCCACCGCGCCCGGCCAACACACCTTTTTCAAAAGAGAAAAACTGTAGAATATTTTTCCTATAATGTGGATTCATAGGTTTAATCACTTTCTCTGAAACATCCTGAATATGGCAGAAAGTTAGTGGCAGAAGAGATTAGCAATTGAATAATACTTTTATATGCTACAAAACAACATTTCTGAAAATAATTCACCATACATATCTACCACATGTGGCATATTAAAGGCAAATTTCACTTGTCAAAATATATCAGTGATTCTTAACTAAAACAAAAAAAATCTTCTTGAACTGAAAATCTCTGTTTGTATTTGTGGATACTGAGCAGGGAATTCACCGGTTCAAGATTAAAGGCAAAAGTTTCTAAGGCTGCTTTTATCCAGTTCCAAGATTGATGATGAGAAACTGTTGCTCATACCTCACTTTTCACAATGTTCATAGCTGGCTTTATATTTACTGTTTTTGAGATAGCTTACAGTATTAGCCACATTCTACCTGTTTGGGAGTGCCAAGTTATAAAAGTACAAAATGTACTCACAGCTTCCTTTGAACAAAATCCTAAGGTTATTCCCATTTCTGGAAATTTAGCTATCATGTCAAACAACTGAGCTATGGTAAGCATCATTCATAAAATATAAAACAATAATGATAAAAGTCAAATAGATTGCATTGCTGAATCAACTGGCTGATTGCAACAGAATGACAATGTGATGTCTTCAATAACCAGTAACTAAAAACTGTAGATCATCTATCATGGTGACATCGTTTTCCACTGTACTCTCTTAATTTCACATTTTATATTGTATTTTGCAAAGTTTCTGAGAAAAAGAAAAAGGAAACAAAGCTTTTATTTAAGGATACATAAGCCTCTATTTAAGTATTTATGTAGTGGGAACTTGTAGCAGTTGGGACATTTTCTTATTATGGTATTTCTGTCCTACCAAGTTTTCCTGCAGTAACAACTGAATATTTGTTATAGTCATGATCCAGGATATACTCAGCGTCCTTTCAAGTACGAAGTTTGGACAATTAGAACAGTATCCTATACCCAACTTAACATATGCTAACAGGAAATCTATACTATACCCATAGTTAGAAAAAACAGTGTTAATCTCATTTAAACACTAATATGCTGAAAATTCAATCCACTAAATTCTAGTGTTTTCGTTCTTACAATTCTCTATTAAGAAAGCAGCTTTGTCAGTTTCTTTTCTTTGAAATAATTCCAACTTTGTACAGTAAATCTTTTTGAAGATATTTGGAGATTTTTTTTTTTTTTTTTTTTTGAGATGGAGTCTTGCTCTGTCACCCGTGCTGGAATGCAGTGGCTCGATCTCGGCTCACGGCAACCTCTGTCTCCCCAGCTTAAGTAATTCTCCTGCCTCAGCCTCCTGAGTAACTGGGATTACAGGCGCATGCCACTATGCCCTGCTAATTTTTGCGTTTTTAGTAGAGGCGGGGTTTGGCCATGTTGGCCAGGATGGTCTTGAACTGCTGACCTCAAATGATCCAGCCACCTCGGCCTCCCAAAGTGCTGGGATTACAGGCATGAGCCACCGCACCCAGCTGATGGAACCATTTTCTTTTAAAAGTTCCAATTTCTCCTAGGCTGGGCACAGTGGCTCATGCCTGTAATCCCAGCACTTTGGGTGGCTGAGGCGGGTGGATCACCTCAGGTCAGGAGTTCGAGACCAGCCTGGCCAACATGGTGAAACCCCATCTCTACTAAAAATACAAAAATTAGCCGGGTGTGGTGGTGGGCACCTGTAATCCCAGTGACTCCAGAGGCTAAGGCAGGAGAATCATTTGCACCTGGGAGGTGGAGGCTGCAGAGAGCTGAGATGTCACCACTGCACTCCAGTCTGGGTGACAGAGCGAGACTCTGTGTCCAAAAATAGAAAAAAAAAAAAATCTCCTTTTTGATATGATCACATGTTGAATTTATTTTGTTTAATGTTTGTATAATTGAATTAATAAAGTGTGCAGTAAAATGCTATAAATCAATTAGTATTATCCAAATGAAAATAAATTGAAATTAAGTAAGACTAGTTTCAAATACAGTCTTTCTTGAAAGAGTGAGTTTGGCCATCCTAAATTACAGTTTTCAAGACTGACCTACTTTCTTTCTGAGGCCACCATACGTATGGTACTAGAATTAAAGTGTCTACATCAAAACCACACTACATGGTTTCTCTTTGACTTAAAAACAAAATACACAAACAGTAAATTATAAGTCTGATTAACTGTGTGGGTATTTTGTCCAATTGATTTAACTGCATTTTTTCCCCTAGGATATAAATCATGTGATACAGCAAACTCAACGATGTGGGGCTCAAATGACACTTGTGAAAAATTCAGATACCCTTTTTTCTTTAAAGTTATATTAATTACCACACTTTAGTAAAGTGTTTACTATTTAGAACTCTTTCTTCCTTCCTAGTTGGCCTCCTGTACACCCCATTCCTGAGTCATAAAAGTAAATACTGTATATCTAAAACTGGTGCTGGTTTTGATAAGCCGTAGTGATGACACCAGCCTGAGTTCCAACTCCTGGAATAAAGAACTGTGACCATACAGCGACTTGGAGGCAGTTAGGTCTCAACATAACTCTCCTTGTCCCCTCATGTCACTGATTTGGAGCCAAGGTTTGTGCTCCAATCTACCAAACCAGGTGAAAGAAATTACATTTCTATTTTCAAATGCAAGGGATTTAAAAGTATATATGGCACACAAAAAAGTCAACGTACTTAATGCCTAATGCCACTGAACTGTACACACAATAATGGTTAAAATACTGAATTGTATGTAATATATTTTACCACAACTAGGAAAAAAAAAAACTGTATTCACATGTTTCAAAGGTTTTTCACAATTGTGTAATACATATAGTTGGTTATACCTTTGTGACAGTGAGCAAATGGCTCTTTCTGCAACATCTATTAGCCCAGACTCCCCAGGGCCTAAGTAAGCATCCATTCTTCAAGAATAAGTAAACAGCACGTACACATGGACATTTCTAGCTAAAAGTAACACAGACAAAAAACCTCAAAAATATCATGTAAGGTCAAGTGTTGGACAAAGAGCCTTTGCAAACATCCCTTGCTCCTTTGCATTGCTCTGGTGTGAGGAGCTAGGACATGGGAAACCTCTACCTCCTCTCTCAGGATTAGCAAACCCTGCTTGATTGCTACAAGGGTAAGTAAATGCTGGCCTGCTGGGTTTCCGGATCCCACTGACTATCGTTCAGGCACTCCTAGAGAGCCAAGCACCATGCCGAAGGGCTGAGGAGGAAACTCGCATCTTTCGTTCTCCTACATCATCAAAAATAAACCTTGAAGGCTGCTCATACGTCGCAGGAGGGCTGTGACTGTCTGGGGTTGCAGACTGAAAATCTCATTAACGTGAGAGAGGTATTTGAAATAAAGAAAACCCTCACAGTATCAGGCTGCAGTTATCATAGCCATTCTGCTCTTGATGCACCCAGGACAAACCTCTATCTCTGCATATGTGTCATTTCAGTGACATATCCTATCTCCTCCCCGATTAGAATGTGAACAGCCCTGTGATCTCTATGTGCTCATAACCAGCGCGTAATGCGAATCCTGGCTCTTCGAAGGCGCTCAGCTAAGTGAGGAGCTCAACTCTGAAGCTGTAACCAAGACGGCGCGGATAGGAGGAGAGGACACCCCAGCGTTCTGCGGTTGCAAACACACCCCTGCAGGTGCTGCCACTTAGCACTTAGAAAAGCCTTACGTTCCCGCTTACTCGCACACACATCCTGACTTTCCCCAACCCTGGAACTACCTACCAGTAGCGGAGACCAGCAGACTGACAGCACGCACATGATCCCCATGAGCTGAATGGCCGTCTCGGTCGTGATGCGGCCCCACTGGGCACTGGACTGAGATGCCGTGGCCTTGGCCCGGCAGCGGGACACCAGGGCCTTAATGGTGGCCAGGTTGCAGGCAAAGGTGACTGTCAGCGCCAAGAGCCCCAGGAAGGCAAAGGCAGAGGCGAAGAAAAGGTTGCCCCAGTTATGCGAAGAGCTAGTCCCGTTGCCCCCTCGCCCGGTGCTGATGAAGCACCACGTCCCGGGCCACTGGACGGTGTACTGGCCCACGCCCAGCACCGGCAGCAGGGCGAAGGCGAGCACGGCCAGCCACACGCCGAGTAGCACAGCGCGGGTGGCACGCGTCTTCATGTGGCTCGCGTACCAGTGCGGCGCCCTGATGGCCAGCGCCCGCTCGACGGCCATGGCGCTGGCGATGAACAGCGAGGAGAGCCCGAAAACAGTCATGGTCAGTCCGAAGAAGGTGCAGAGCCGCCCCGACGGGTCGAGCTGCTCCCAACGCTGCTTGGACAGGTACACGACGATGACCACCGGGGTGGTGAGAAGCTGCCCGACCAGGTCGGTGAGCGCCAGCCAGCCGATGCACAGCAGGAACGACTTCTTGCGCTTGCTCTCCCGGCGCCGGTAGCTGCGCGACACTAGCAGCATGGCCAGTGCGTTGCCCACGAAACCGGTGAGCAGCATGGTGATCGGGAAGGCTACGGACACCGATCCGCAATCCTCGCCGGATCCTGGAGGGCGCGTGAGGTTGCCCCGCGCCTCGGCGGAACGCTCGGGCGCCCACATGCCTGTGTATGAGTGATTGAGGCGGGTGCAGAAGGGGGCACCCCCTCCGTAGCCCCGGGTCTCCTTCATGTTGGCTTCGAGGTGAGGAGGGGATAGCGTCCAGAGAGCCGCAGCGGGAGGGGGCAGACGCGGCGCGGGCGGCGGCGGAGGTCGGCGGCTACCGCGGCTGTGGCTGGGCTGCCCTCCATGGTGCGGGGCGCAGCCGCCGCCCTATGCCGCTACTGGGACCGCGGCCGCGGCGGCGCCAGGGCTCACTGGCCCCGGAGGCAGCCGCGCCTTCCTCTCCGGGAAACCTCTGGCTCCGAGGCGCGCCGAGGTGCCGAGTCCCCTCTATAAGGCCAAGGGGGCGGGGCGCCCGTGGGTGTGGACAGAACCGAGGTGGGAGGAGGGTGCAAAGCAACTGAGCGCCTCTCTTGGCTGTTGCCTATCCTGATCGCCTGAGTTGGGAAACCCCAGACCGGCTCCTCTGAAACGCCTTTGGGCCGAACCCAGGGCCCACTGGGCGCCTCCTCCAGTTCTCCGCCAGAGTGTCAGTAGGCTGCAAGCAGCTAATAAGTCGCACCGGGCTTGCGGACCCCAGTCAAGCTGCCGAGGCGCACCTGAGCGCTCGCTCGCCTGCTTCTTCAACCACAAACGCTCCTGCAGGGACGGGATCCTTGTCCTGAAGTCCTTTAGTAACTCCGGTAAAGTGAAAATCGGCTGTCTTTAAGCAATCCCCACAAGCCTTTGCACAGCTGATCGTTAACTTTTTTCCTTTCTGCTTTGAGACTCTAGAGTGATTATAAAAAGGCCAAGGTGTCCTGTCCCCTGGGGTGCCGCTGAAAACTATAAAATTACTAGACAGTGCCTGCAGACTTAAGGGAGTAGACACAGGAAAACAACTACATCGGATGGTTGAATTCCAAGACCAATAAATCCCAACTACTACCCCTCGCCTAATCCTGCCCGCTCCCCTCCCCACCACCCAACAAATAAGTCAGCTATGGCAAAAGTGGCTACAGGAAGGTGGCATCAATTTGCGTATCTGAGGTAGTGAAATCAGCTGCTACCAGCCTATGGGAGTGAGAGGGGAGCAGAGGAGAAAGGTATTCCTCACAAAGCCTCCAACCATCCTCCTTATCTTCATACAATAAGAACTAGAAAAGGTAAAATTTAGATGTTAGGAAGGCCTTAATCTATATGGAAACTTTGCCTTTGAAATAATAAACATTGAATGAAAATAGGCATACTTGCTTGCCTCGTAACATCTTTCAGTAAGCCAATATTTTGTGTATTTCTCACAAACATTTCTCATTTTATCACAGAAATCCTCCAAGGTACTATTGCTATTACTATTCCCCTTAAAGGTGGGGTCACTGAGGCCCCATGAAGTTAAAGAATGTTCCTGAAGTCTCTCAGCAATTCTCAAGTCCCATCTTATTTGAAGCATGTACTCCTGACAGGGGTCCCATAACTGCTCTCAGCAGATGAATATTAACAGTGAGGTCATTTCCCCCTAATCTTGGGAAAGTCTTGTGTTTTTTGTTTTGTTTTTTGCCTTTTCACACTGGCTAAGAAATGAAAAGATTTTTAAAAATAATTGCAAAGTTCATTTTTCCTCATATGTAAGAAATTAGAGTTAATCGTATAGCACTATAAAGACCATTATTCTGATTGACACAGATCGACTTTCAGAACAAGCCCAATCAGTTTTGCCTTTCCTAGCTTAGCTGATGTTCTGTATGTGTGTTCTTAACTTTTAAATTGCTGTTAAGAGGTAAGAATGGGATATGTCCCTCTGCATGCTTTCTCGATGGTCTTGATTCTGTATGAGAGTTTGAAAACATATCACTATAACATTATATGTTTTTTAAAGAAGGCAAAGCAAGAATGCAATTTAAATTCCATTCTAATAACATGCATTAATCACAACATGAATTTCATTTTGTGTTTTGCTGTTATTTAAAAATGTTTTGCACTTTTGCATTTTATTGACTAAAATGTCACATTTACAATGGGAACAACAGCTAGGAAGGGTGAAATGATTTAATTCTAAAATCTTCTCCAAACTTTTGTCTTATTATTCTGAATTAATCTCAAACCTGTATTTGGGATAGTATTTTTCTAGCCTAGTATTTGAAAATAAAATAATATTTGAGGTTATTCTTAGACAAAGCTTTATCCAAAGCATTTGGATGAAAGTGGCTATCAAATTTATACCTTCTGCAGTTAGTAAAATTCTAGTGTAATTCAATGTTTAAAATTTAAGACCATTTCACCATTCGCACAGCAAACGAAGCAAAGCTTATCTTGTTCCAGTTACATCAAAAACTATTCTTATTTTCATTTACAAATATTTGCCTTCTTTGAAACTTTTACTTCTCCCTCTGAAGTCCTTGCTGTAGCCAATTGGACTTGATAAGCATGGTAAGTACCAGGGTATGTATTAGTAAAGAATTGTTAGTCTCTTACTAACCTCTACAGCAATCAACAAAATGTGTTGCATTTCAGATAATTTGGGTAACATTTCTCTTCTTTCAGCATTTCGCTTCATCCTATATTGTCTGCCTTTAGCTATTCACTTGTAAACAAGTTACTGTGAGGGTTTGTGGAGTAACAGTGTGAAGCTGGCAGTTGGATTCTGGTTGGTACTTTCTGGACAGTTACTACAGCTATAGTGTGAATTGTGTTGGTCTGAAACAACACTGCCCCCTGGTGACCAAAAGGCTAATAACATGCTTTATGCTGTTTTAAAGAGAATTTCCAAAGGGTCAATGGATGCTTTGCTTAGGGGATCTCTGATTTCTTTTCTAGAGATCTACTTATCAGTACATAATTGTGGTCACTTTGTTTTCCTTTGAGGTTACAAATTGGCAATTTTGTTTAACAGTCAATAAACCGGTAGAGGATTAAACTGAAAGACCAGATATTCATTTTTTAAAATTTAAAGTATATATTCACCTATTATGTTTTCAATGAAATTCTACCCTGGATATGTTTTAAATTCACAAATTACTTAATTGTACCCCTTTTGTACCTTACAGTTTAAAATGTGTAATGTTTACCTGGTGATGAATAGCTATGTTCAATGGCAATGACAGATATGTCAATATTTAGCTAGTGATGATGAATTTATTTTGCTATTTACTTCTATTAAACATATATTTAAAAATCTTATATATGGACACAAAATAAGCTTAATAACTGGTCACATGATCAACCCTTGATTGCCTCACTATGGATGGAGACTATCTGAAAGTCTTTCTTCATGGAGCCAACCAGTAATTTTAGTTTATATTTTAGTCATTCATTCATTCAATAACTATTCATTGAGCACCCAATCTATGTCAGACACTGTTTCAGTCATTAGGGATAACAAAGCAATACATAACAGTCCCTACATCTATGGGGTTTATATTTTAGTGCAAAATTACTGAATTTAAGTGCCAAATAACAGAAGAAAGAACACTGATCCCATGGCTTTTATCTTCTCAGAATGATTGCCATGGAAGTACAATGCAACATAGACTTAACATTTAAACATCAATCAATATAATTACTGTGTCAAAATAAGAGCAATGCTTAGAAGTCTTTGCTAAATCAAATATCTGGATATACTCGAGTCCCTTGCTATGACTGCCTTTTCTCCTGTCTTTTCTTCCTATTCTTTACATGCCTGTTAATTTTTTATTGAAAGCTGGACATTGTAATATATGGTAATGACTCTGGATTCTCCTGGGTTTTTTTTTCCCCTGAGTATTATTGATTTTATGTTTGTTTGTTCTGTTTGACAGTTAACTTGTCCGGATTCAAACTGCCAATATTGCCTCCCCTGGGGCATGCTGCTTTTGATATCTCTGCTTCATTTTCATGGTTTTCCATGCTCTTTTAGCTTGGCTCCCTAGAGATTGATTTCCCTATGCCTGTGTAATTTGCTGGTCAGTTAGCAATGGAGATCACCTTCTTTGTGGGTTCCTCCATTCTAGGGATTCTCCTCTTATTTCCAGCTGTTCTGGCAACTTAGGACTATTCCCTGACATACCAAGTTTCTGAAGTTTCAGCTTTCTGTCACTCAAAGTACACACAGCACAGGGAGGAATACATCCCCTTAAGTAAAGCATCAAAGTAGAGGTATAATTTACATTTATACATCTCGAATAATTTTTTTTTTTTTTTTTTCAGACAGAGTCCTGCTCTGTCACCCAGGCTGGAATGCAGTGGCGCAATCTCGGCTCACTGCAAGCGCTGCTTCCCAGGTTCACACCATTCTCCTGCCTCAGCCTCCCGAGTAGCTGGGACTACAGGTGCCCGCCACCATGCCTGGCTAATTTTTTGTATTTTTAGTAGAGACGGGGTTTCACCATGTTAGCCAGGATGGTCTCCATCTCCTAACCTCATGATTCTCCCGCCTGGGCCTCCCAAAGTGCTGGGAATGGGAATACAGACGTGAGCCACCGTGCCCGGCCAAATAGTGGTCTTTTAAGACTAGATTTCTATTGGTTTTGCTTGCTTTTTCCTCAGGCTTCATGGAGTCTCCTTCACTCATACAGAGTTTTGCTGTGAGACATGGATTTGGGCAGTTCTATCGCATTTCTTCTCTGGTTCTCATTCCCAAGATTTCCTACTTAAATTTGCAGTGGCTTTTCAAGTCTTAACTCCAGTCTCTGGCACTTGTTGCCAGTAAGGCTATGATTTCTTTTTTTTTTCTAACAGTATTTCCCACAGCCATAGTCATGAAGATTGGGCAGGATCCTCGATCCCAAAACCAGTAAGTCACAATTTTTACTCCTCTAATTTGCAGGTCTTTTTTTCTCTTCTATGATTTCTGTATGCCTTTGCTTTCCAATGTAATACTTTAATAAAATTCAAATACTTGTTTTTACAAATTTAACCATACTTTATTATTGTTATATGCAGGGCAGTGTGATACTGGCATAAAGATAGGCATGCTATGTTTGGAATGTGTCTCCTCCAAAATTCATGTTGAAACTTAATGGCTAATATGATGGTATTAAGAGGTGATGCCTTTAAGAGGTGGTTGGGCTATGAGGACATCTCGTGAGTGAATGGGATTAGCTGCTCTTATAAAGGGCTTGACAGAGGGAGTTTGGTCCCTTTCTTGTCATCCTGACATGTGAGGACAGGGCAAGAAGGCCTTCACCAGAGACCAGATGATGGCGCCTTGCTCTTGAACATCCCCAAACTGCAAAACGTTGAGAAATAAATTTCCATTTCTAAATTACCCAGTTGTAGTATTGTTATAGCAGCACACAACAAACTAAGACACTGATCTACAGATCAATGACAGTATTATAGAGAGCATCATATATACACATATGTGTATGACAGATAGAGATATAGATATGTGTACACATATGAAGACATTCATATTCAACAGATCTTTGTCAAAAGTGTTAAGGTGATTCAAAAGAACAGCCATTTTTACAAGTGGTGCTGGATAAACTAGATATCTGTATGGATATAAAAATGAACATAGACTTACACCACAAAACAAAATAGATAATAGACTTAAATGTACCTGTTAAAACTAGAAACTTCCGAGATTAAAAGAGGACTTTTCCTTGTGACTTCTTTCTCCTCTATCATTACTGCAAGTACTCCTTCAGCTTTGTTGTTGTTGTTGTTGTTGCATTGAACAACATGTGATTACCTGTTTTAGTAGGCACAGAAATTATATTGTTTTTTTGGTTTGTTTGTTTGTTTTAGACAGTCTCACTCTGTCACCCAGGCTATAGTGCAGTAGCATGATTTTAGCTCATGATGCCTGGAACTCCTGGGCTCAAGTGATTCTCCCACCTCAGCCTTCTGAGTAGCTAGGGCTACAGGCACATGCAGCCATGTCTGGCTAATTTTACAATTTTATTTTTTGTAGAGACAGGGTCATACTATATTCCCCAGGCTGCTTTCAAACTCCTGGCCACAAGCAATCTCACCACCTGAGCCCCACACAATCCACCACACAGTCCCCCACCCCGAGAAGCCATTCCCCTTCAATTTCACAGTTAGGCTCTCAGCTGCATAACAGTATGTGGCCTGTGAGTGTGACCTTGGAGGCTCTTCCTCAGGCTCTGCTAAAAATAATTAAATTCTTTCTGAATGTCTGGTTACCTGTAACTTTTGATAAATGAAACAGTGAGTCAATAACATTCTTGTACATATTGGTATATGTATTTGTGGGATTTATTTTTACATGGTAAATCATTAGAAGCGGACTGTTCTGTGCCGATGATTCTCAGATTTGTACCTGCAGTCTACACTTCTATTTGAACTTCAACTTCATACCAAAATATATCTCATATACACTCATTTGTGTCCATCTCCACCGTCACTACCCGGATTCAAGTTACCACAATCTTTTGCCTAATTTGCTGCAATATTTATTTATTTAGAGACAGAGTTTCGCTCTGTCTCCCAGGCTGGAGTGCGGTGGCATGATCTTGGCTCACTGCCACCTCTACCTCCTGGGCTCAAGCGAGCACGTCCGGCTAATTTTTGCATTTTTAGTAGAGACGGGGTTTCACCATGTTGGCCAGGCTGGTCTCGAACTCTTGATCTCAAGTGATCCACCTGCCTTAGCCTCCCAAAGTGCTAGGATTACAGGCGTGAGCCACCATGCCTGGACACAATAATTTTTTTTTTTTTTTTTGAGACAGGTGTCGCTCTGTCACCCAGGCTGGAGTGCAGTGGCGTGATCTCTCAGCTCACTGCAGCCTCCACCTCCTGGGTTCAAGTCATTCTTGTGCCTCAGCCTCCCAAGTACCTGAGATTACAGGCGTGTGCCACCATAATACACTAAGTTTTTTATTTTTAGTAGAGATGGGGTTTTGCCATGTTGCCCAGGCTGGTCTTGAACTCCTGACCTCAACTGATCCATCTGCCTCGGCCTCCCAAAGTGCTAGGATTACAGGCTTTGAGTCACCACACCTGGCCCTCAATAGATTTCTAATTGCCTTGACCTTATAATTTTAAACTATGTTTATTGTAACAAATTGAAGTTTAGTGAGCATTTAGATTATATTTTAAATGTTAATAATCTCTTGATCCCTCTATTTTCACTTCCAAATTAACCAATATTAATAGGTTGGGGTGTATTCTTTCATACTTTATTCTATAATCATACAAAGATATTTTCACTCATGTTTAAAATGTTTACAACCCAATGGGCCAGATATATTGTTATGCTAATTTGACTACCAGTGAAGCTAAATAACATCCTCTTCTATTAATTATATACATTATTGGAATATCATTATGCTATTAATTTGTAGCAACTCTTTGTATAGAGGTACCATCTGTTTCTAATTTTCCTGTCATTTGCCTTTTTACTTTTTGTATCATGTCTATTACCGTATATAAGAAATTTATTCAGGAAAATGATCTTTTCATTTATGGTTTTGAGGATTCCTGCTTAAGCAAGCCTCTCTTTAATTCCTGTATCCAAGTTGCACTTGGGAATATTCTTACTTTAATATTCATGTTTTCAATCTAAATGGATGTTAAAATTTGTACTTTTTAGCAAATGGTAATGAGGTGGTTTAACTTTTTTACAGATTATCACATAGACAGCTAACATCATTTAAGTAAATCATAATTCTCCTCTTAACTGAAACCCTATTTCATCATATACTAAATTTCGATTTAGTCCAGTGTCCAGATCTTGGTGTCTAAATACAGTTCTTCTTTAAAAGGAAACAGCGTTCTTCGGAAGAATGGCTGATTCTGCATCTATGGCTGAGAAAATACAAGCTGAGCCTAGAGCATCTTGTACTGCCAGAAATTAAAGAAGTGTTCAGAAGACAGAAGAATTTGGGGACATGTCAAAAGGACAAAGAAGCCAACATGACCCAAAGACCTTTGGTCTTTGGAATTATATATTTTGAACAACAAAATATATATTTTGAACAACAAAATATATAAGGTATAAGGTAGTATTGAATAAGCCAAATGAATCTACTATACAACAGGAAAAATAGTAACTTCAGTAAATTTACAGTGCAGAAACCCGGCAAATGAAGTCTTTTTTTTTTTTTTTTTTTTTTTAACCCAAAACCCAACGAAAAGCTTTATTTTTATATTTAGGTTTGATGTATGAACAGCCATGCAGAACATGGCTGGACATGACTGGACACAAAGGATGTGGCCTAATGGTGATGGACGGAGTGGGGAAACCCAGCAAGGCTGCTTTGAACAATTTCCCTTCCTCTGGGTATGGGGCAGGGCCCCTCGGGAATGAAGGTCCTCCAGGGAGAAGGAAGAGAGTGACCTTGCTAGGTTTTATGGCTAGCTTTGGGAGAGATGATTTCTAGTTTCTATGACCTGCCTTGGGGAAAACAAATTCTGGTTTCTGTGACTCACTCTGTGGGAGAAAAGGGGACAGGAACCAGGAAGGAAGGACAAAGACTAGGCTTCTGAGACCTTCCAGTCTCCTCTGGGTCAGAGTAATCCGCATGCCAAGGTGCCATACTTTGGGGTTTAATGAGCCCTGACAGCAGGTCCTTGCAGATTTCAGAGGCAACCTGTGATCTAAGTAATTGGTTTTCAGTCCCTCAATTTCAGAGGACTTTAGCAAAGCCTGGTTGAAATGGCCAAGTGTTAGAAGAACCCCTTCAAAGTTGAAATTCATCAAGTTCTTCAGCTGAGGGCGTAAAAATCGCAGATGTAAGGTTAGGAAGAGTTAGGACTTCTGGAGTCTTCCCTGCACGCCCTGACTCTTGAGCGTCAACACGTCAGAAGCTCACAGTATGTGATCCTCCTGTGGCTAGCAGTGATGTGTTTTAGAGTAACATGTTCAGAATGAAACTGCCACACTTAGTCAAGCTTCAAGGGCCTTTTGAAGACATGTGTGGCCCACACTGGCCTCATAGGAACACAGGTGCTCCAGGACCCAATGGGTTCAGGACTAGGTGGGGGGAAACTTCAACCCTGAAAACATCCTCCTGCTGTCTAGACCAGCCTGCCCCATGGCCAAGAGCCGTGAGAACCCCAGCCACCCCTTGGGTTGCACCGCTGCCAGTGCTAGAATTTTGCCCTTCCTGGGCAGAAAAGCTCAACATTTGGCTCAGGACATAAATGGAAAGAAATACCCACCATGTTTTTCACAGTGGGGCATGAAAATACAGGCAAGCAGGAGCCTGACATGTCTGTGGGCCACCCAGCAGGAGGTGGATAGGCTGCGCTTCTCAGGTTGCTTTGAGGAGCCTTCCTTTAGTGGGCAGGGAGTGCCTTTCCGGAAGAAGTCCTTGGGTGGGACATGCTGATCCTGAATGAATCCTAAGAAGTACAAGACCCGAAGACAGTAAGCCTGTGTTCCCAGCCAGCGCTGGTGGCAGCTGGGTTCCCGGCAGGTGGAGCCGACGTGGTCTGGAGCCCACAGCCACACTCTGGCACCTCCTCAGGTGGTTTTCAAGGGTGGGTTCCAGCCAGGTAAGTCCTAGGCACTCCTGCTGCAGGCCACTTTCAATGACCTACATTCCCCAAACCATCAGGTCCCAACTTTGCTGGCACACGGTGTCAACTGTGGTGTCCCGCGGGGTGGATGAGGGGTGTCAGGGACTTTTCTGGCCTTGTCACCCAGACCCCCCTCCCCGTCCTTAGGGTCCCTGCACTCAGCGGCTGTTCTGGGGCCAGGCACTCTGGACCCCCCATGGCGCACATGCATCTATTCTGACTTATGCCCAATTCACTGGAGTCTGTGGGAACTGATGCTGGTGAGGACACCACTGTTCTCAGAGTCATCTCTGCTTGTGGATTCTTCTCAGCGCAAATGTAGCACCTGATACGATTTTTTTCTCTTTTCTGTTTTAGAGATGGGGGTCTTGTTCTGTTACAGCCCAGGCTGGAGTGCAGTGGCACAATAACAGCTCACTTGACCTCTCGGGTTTGAGCGATCCTCTCATTTCAGCCTCCTTAGTAGCTGGGACTGCAGGCATGGCACCACCACAGCTGGCCTGAATTTTCTTTAATGGTTTGGAGTTTCCATCAAACTAAACACTAATCAAAGGATAGCATTATACAGTATGTGAAATTATAACATTAATACATTTTTTTCCTTAAAAAAAAAAGTCATATTAATACATGTATGATAGGGTTGGCTGCTGGGAGAAAATCTGGCCATTCTGGGAATGTTCTTCCTTGTGGGAAAGTTTACAACTACAGTGCTGCAAGACCTGTGTGCACAAGTAGGTGACATATCTGGGATCACTGGCTTTGTCAGGACCCCTAGAGTTTGTGCAAATTTAGCTTTCCCTTTACATGAAGAGAGACCAGCACTGCCCCATGGAGAGCAGAAGGCCCAGGAAGGTCCATCCATGGCCTTTGCCTCTTAAAAGAAACGTCTACTCTAACTTATGTCCACATCACCTTCTCCTGAAGATTCCAGAAGTAAAGGATAAATAAGAAAAGCAGGATGGCACTTTGCGAGGCCAAGGCAGCTGGATCACCTGAGGTCAAGAGTTCGAGACCAGCCTGGCCAACATGTAGAAACCCCATGTCTTCTAAAAATACTAAATTAGCCGGGCATGGTGGTGTATGCCTGTAATCCCAGCTACTCGGGAGGTTGAGGCAGGAAAATCGCTTGAACTCGGGAAGTGGAGTTCGCGGTGAGCTGAGATTGCACCATTGCACTCCAGCCTGGGCAACAAGAGCAAAACTCTGTCACACACACACACACACACACACACACACACGCGGAAAGAAAGAAAAGAAAAAGGAAGAAAAGAAAGGAAAGGAAAGGAAAGGAAAGGAAAGGAGGGAGGAAGGAAGGAAGGAAGGAAGGAAGGAAGGAAGGAAGGAAGGAAGGAAGGAAGGAAGGAAGGAAGGAAGGAAGGAAGAATGGGCAAGCTGGCCTCTCCTGGAACACCAGCACCGTGGGAAGTCAAGGCAGGCTAACCTCTTGAGCCCAGGAGTTCGAGACCAGTGTGCTACTGCACTCCTGCCTAGGTGAAAGCAAGACCTTGCCTCAAAAGAAAAAAAAAAAAAAAAAGGCCAAGTACAGTGGCTCACACCTGTAACTCCAGCACTTTGGGAGGCCGAAGCAGGTGGATCCCTTGAGTCCAGAAGTTTGAGACCAGCCTGGGCAATGTGGCAAAACCTCATCTATACAAAAAGCGCAAAACATTATTTGGTTGTGTTGGTGCGCACCTGTGGTCCCAAGTCCTTGGGAGGCTGAGGTGGGAGAATCACCTGAGTCTGACAACTTGAGGTTGCAGTGAGCTGTGCTTATGCCACTGCACCCCAGCTTGGGCAACAGAGAGACCCTCAAAAACCCCCAGAGGTTTCCCTTCCAGCAGCAACACAAACTAAATCTTAATCAAGAGGTTAACATAAAGAGTGATGTCATGGATATTATACATCTCCTGATTATGGTGTGATGATAAAAGTCACTTGACACCTGTAATAATCTTTCCAAAAAAATCCAGAATCCCAATCTAATTGTGAAAATGACGAGCCAAGAATGGAGGTCATTCTACAGGATACCAGGCCAGGACTCCTCAAGAATATCAAGGTCATGAAAACAAAATGAGAAAATGAAAAATGACAATGGGGAGACAACTAAATGTAATGTGGCACCCTTGACTGGGTACTGGAATAAAAAGGACCTAAGTGGAAAAGTTGGTGAAATTCAAATATAATCTCAATTCAGTTAACAATGTGCAAATATTGGATTCTTGGTTTTCGCAAATATACTAAGGTAAGATATTAACAATAGGGAAACTGGATGAGAGGTGTAGGGGAGCTAAGTAGCTTTGTAACCTTCCCGTAAATGCCTGGATTTTTTCTATTTCCTTATTTTAGTTAACTAGATTACTTGGATTTATAGATGGGTACTGTTCTATTGTTTTGAGGCATAAAATTCATACACCAAAGTGCAAAAATGTTAACTTTTTTAAAACATATGTACACACAATTGTTAATTACCATCCAGATGTCTATATACAATTCTAACAACCAGAAGGTCCCTTGTGTCCCAACCCAACTAATAATCACCATGACCTGAGGTAATCACTGTTTTGACTTCAGCCACAATAGCTAAATGTTGCAGTCTTTGAACTTCACATAAACAGAATCAGACTGTGTACCTGTTTGTGTGTCCTGTATGGCTGACCTCCATAAGTGCTCCACACATGTTGTTATTCTTTAAATGTAGAAATTTATTTTACATTTCTACCTTATTTACATAAAGGTAGATTATTCTTTAAATGTCAATGAAATCAAGTTGGTTTTCCATTCTATATTCTTATTTTCTACGGCTTGCATCAATTCTGAAAGTGTAGAAATCTCTATTATTGTGGATTCCTCTATTTTTGTCATGCAATTCCGTTAGTATTTGCTTTATGTATTTTGAAGCTTAGTAGGTATATATATGTTTGAGATTGATAGACTCCATCCGTATGAAAGGACCTTTGTTACCTCAATGCTCAAATTTTTCCAAAATTAATATAATCACTCTAGGTTTCTTCTAATTTCTTCAGATCTTTTTATCATGGTTTACATTTTCCATCTATTTATTTGTAGCCTATTTGTGTCTTTGCGTTTCCAGTAGGTTTCTTATAAGAGCATATAGGTCTTGCTTCTTTCATCCAGTGTGACAATGCTGTCTTGGAACTGGGGTGTTTAATCATTACATTCAGTGTAATTATGAGTATGGCAGGGTTTCTCTAATTTGCTCATTTCCTTTTTCTGGTTTCTTTCGGATCAAGTATTTATAATTTCATTTTCCTCCCTACTTTGGGAGTATTTGCAGTATCCTTCAAGATGATGTGCAATCTGTGTATAGTATAACAACCTTACAATAGTGTACTTCCACTTCTCCCCTTGGCCTATGTGCTCTTGCTGCTGTATATTTTACTTGTACTAAGTTCCACAATTTACTCTATTTGCTGTAGTCAATTATCTTCCAAAGAAACTCTTAAATATATCTATCCACATAGCATTTCCTGTGCTCTCACCTTGTGTAGGACCAGATTGCTGATATGTTTTCTTCTGCCAAAAAAATCTAGTATTTTCTGCAT